TCTGCCCTCCCTCCTGGCTGCCCCCTCTGCTCTCCCCCCTGGCTGCCCCTTCTGCCCTCCCTCCTGGCTTCCCCCTCTGCTCTCCCCCCTGGCTGCCCCTTCTGCCCTCCCTCCTGGCTGTCCCCTCTGCCCTTCCCCTAACTGGCCAGGTCTCCCCACAGCCTGCACCCTGAGCCCCTGCGCAGGTCCTGGGGCTCGGCTCAGCCACCGGAGTCTGCTCAGGCCTGTCCCCGCGGCAGCCACCCACAGCCCCGGCTCCCTGCCCTCCTCGTGGGTCCTCCCATGTCCCCTACCCCTTCTCTGCCTCCCCACACCCCACACCCTCCGCCCAGGTTAGCCCAGTCCTGGACCCTCCGCCCAGACTAGATGAAGTCCCCGGCGAGATGCGAGACTCCTCTGGGAGGCCCCGGCTCCTGTGCTGGGCAGGGGCAGGGCAGTGGCTGGGCGGTGTCCCCGCATCCCCGATGCTGGCAAGGTCTCCAGCCAGCCCCCCCCACCCCGAGCACAGGCCTTCCGTCTACCCGACTGCTGCCCGCCTCTCCCCCCAGCTCGGAAATCCGCCACCGCGTTCCACCACGGGCCAGCACCAGCCATGGCGGAGGGCAGGGCAAAGGACTGACCTTCCCCGCCTTCTGGCCCAGGCCCGTGAAGACGATGTCCCCGAAGGCGTCCGTGGGCATCTCCTGGACGTGCTTCTTGGGGTCCCACTCCTTGCCCTGGAAGGCGTGGGGCCTGGTGGCCTCCTCCAGATGCCGCTCCCGCGGGTAGCCACACGCACACACCACCCTCCTACAAAGACAGCACGGGGCGGTCACCAGCAGAGCACCCGTCTCTGCAGGACCCACCCGCCCAGCAGACCAGTCCTGGCCTCCAGTCAGAGGACAGACCGCACATGTCCCTCCCGGCCGCCAGCGGTCTGGCGTGGCTCTGTGTGTAGGCTGCAGGGTGGGTGGATGGTCTAATATGCTTCTCTGTGCATGCAGTGGGTTTGGTGTGACTTTCCTTGGACTCCCCCCCACGTGCCCAGGACAAGGTGCTATTCCTTCTCCCCGCCTCAGTGATTACAGGACCAGCCCTGTGGTCCAGAGTCAGGCAGCGGAGAACCTAAATGATGCCGGGTCCAATCAAAACCATCAGCACACGGAGAACCAGAAACTCAGCCAGAGTGGGGAAAGAGCGCGCAGCCGCAGGTAACACCTCGGGGGGCTCCACGCAAGCATTACAGCAGCCATCTTAGAACTGCTTTCCCAATGACCACAGACATCCCAGAGATGAGTGCAGAATACGGCTTCCACAAAGAAAGAAGGAGCGCAACACATGAAAACCTTCCACTGAAAAATTCAGTGACCAAATTATTTTTTAAGCTCAGTGGCTGGCTCAACAGAACAAAGAAGACAAAGGAGAAGTGATCCACAAACTAGAAGATCAGCCAGTAGCAAATTACCTCAAAAGAGCAGAGAGAAAATAGACCAAGTAAATAAGTATAGAGCCTCTGGGACTGGAAGGAATCGTACGGTCAGACCATCAGTCTCAGAAGGGAAAAGGGAAGAGCAGGGGAATGATACCCAGGTGTCCCATGCCACATTGGATTTCTGAAAATCCACCAAGCTACAAATCCAGGTCCTAAAACCCCAACACAGCACCTCACAGCCACACTGTCAAAGCTAAAGCTGGAAAAGAAATCTGACACCTTCCTTCAGACGACAGGGCTTCCTACCCCACGTCCCGGGCCTATGGGAACTTGTCGCCAGTGGGAGCAGCCAGAAGAGAGGCTAAAGGGAGTTCTCCAGACCAAAGAGATGTTCCAGAGCTTCAGACCGGAGGCGGGTGCAGGTGGGAGAAGACCGTGCGCAAGCACAACGGTCCTCGCTGCTCTTCGCTATTGTTCTTGCCAGCGCCTGTGTGTGGAGTCAGGGCCTTACCCTTCCTTGGCTGGCTTTCTCTGCAGGCGCTCTACTACTGGGCCATGCCTCCATCCCTTGAGTTTTTTAAACCATGCTGATGGCTGAACATTGTGTAACATGGTTCTCAGTGCACGTTTTAAGTGGCTGAGTGAGAGATGGAGGAAACATGTCTCCTATACTTCGTTCAAACTTGCAAAATGTCAATACCAGTAGAGTATATTATGTATTATTATAGTGTTAATACTGAGAGCAACCACTTTAAAAAGCTACATAAGAAAATACGCTCGGCAGGGTTCCGACGGCTCACGCTACTTGAGAGGCTGACATGTGAGGATGGAGGGCTTAGAGGGGGAACCGGGGAGCTCAGCCAGGAGCACAGCTGTGTGTCCTACATGTGAAAACAAGACAGTCACACATGTGCACATGCGTGTACACATACATGCACACGCGTGTACATACACATGTATGCACGTGTACGTGCATGTATACCCGCACACCTGTGTACACACACCAACACACCACAGCACACCAAGCCTGAACTTGCACTTCTCTACGTGTGAAAACAAGACAGTCACACGCATGCACACATGTGTATGTGCACATGCACACATGTGTACACACGTGTGCACACGCCACAGCACACCAAGCCTGAACTTGTACTTCTCTACATGTGAAAACAAGACGGTCACACATGCACACATGTGTGAACACGCGTGCACATACATGTGCACACATGCACACCCGTGTGCACGCACCCACACACCACACCACACCAAGCCTGAACTTGCACTTCTCTAAAAGGAAGACCTCTTGTTATCTCCTTGAACTTCCACCTTCGACATTCCACTGCATCGACAAGAGACCTACCCACAGGACAGCGGGCTTGGCCTTGTACAGTCAGAACATCCTTTGAGTCTAGCAATATTTCCAAATAAAGAGCTGGGCACA